AGGACTTAACATGTATGGAGGAATGGATGAGGTCCGGCTGTGGGCGGGAGTGTGAGGTCATGGATGGGGGGGGGGTCTAAATTTGATTAAGATCTATTATATGAAATGCACAAAAACTCAATAAAATGTTTTTTTTTTTAAATTTTTAAGTGTGCTTAGGGTATAGCTCAGTGGTAGAGTGCTTGCCTAGCAAGTATAAACCCCTGTACTGAAATGAAAGGGAAAAAAAAGCCTCAACAAAACCAAGACTAACAATAATGCTTCTGCCCATTGAAGAAAGAATTTTAAGTCTTTGTGGGTAGAAAGTGGGAGATATGGAAGTTTAAAGAAAGCAGGTCAAGGAAAAATCCAATGCTTAGAAAAAGTCTCCACATCCCTTGGGGCCTCAGGCCTTATCAGAATTTGCATATCATCTTCTGCACCTACCTTGGTTGCATTATGCCTTTCCCCCAAGACACCCAATTTAGACTGCTTATGAGACAGGCTCATCAACATGCAGGTGATTGGCTTTGCATCAATCTAAGATGATGTTTGTGTCAAAGAACTCATCTCCACATTTGGAAATCTGTTACAGGCACTGAAAACACACCTAAAACTACAAGTCAGAAAGAGGATAATGTCAGCCCTTCTATAGAGTATTCTTAAATTGCTCAGGAAGTTCCCCTTTAATGTCTGAATAGCAATTTTGGTATTAAAAGTATGTTTTAGGGTGTTTTCTTTTAGAATTCAAGTTAAGATGGAATTAGAAAAAAAATTGGAAGAATCTAGTATCTGCAATTTTAGCTTCTTCTAAAAAGCCTGTAGGTGGCCAGGTCCCCACAGATGAACACAATCTAAGGATGAGAATATCCTCCCTTTTCAGAGAAGTAAGCTCATGCAAAGCAGGGTGCTGAAGAGAGTACAGGCTAGATCCAGTCCCTGGCAGCTCATTTGCTGAGGAATCTCAGCAAGTTATTTAACATCTGACACCTCAATTTCCCCATTTGTAACACAGTGGATAAGAAGACAGATTCTAGAGTCACTCTCAGCACGTTATTTAACATCTGGCACCTCAGTTTCCCCATTTGTAACACAGTGGATAAGAAAATAGATTCTAGAGTCAGACTGCAACCTGGAGTCATGAGATATGGACTGGTGACTCATGCTTTGTTCCTCAGTCCTCTTCTTGATAAAAATATAGTGTACAAAAGAGTATTCACCTGGTAGAGGTATCTCAGTTGATATAGTGCTTGTCTAGGATACACAAGGTCTGGAGTTTCATCACCAGCATCCATCACATAAATTAGGTGTGGTGGCACACGCCTACAATCCCTGCACTCAGGAGGTAGAGGATCAGAAATTCAAGGCCAGCCTGAGATACATGAACTTAAAAAAAGTGTTGTTCCAAGGACTGTCATTATAGTAAATGTTTTGTAGTAATTGCCATGATGGTGATTTTGAAGAACATTCAAATAAGTGCTAAATGATCACTGTGTGTAGATTCTACATACAGTGCTGTGCACAGAAGATGGCATTAAGTACATCTACAATTAACTGACTCCTAATTTTAAAAACAGGTATCAGTGCTTTTAACCCTCACTAAATCCTGCTAACAAGAGTGTCTTAGTTTTCTATTGCTGTGAGAAAACACTCTGACCAAAACCAATTTGGGGAGAAAAGGGTTTATTTGGTTTACATATCCAGATCACAGTTTATCATTGAGGGAAGCCAGAACAGGAACTCAAGGGCAGGAACCTGGAGGCAGGAGCTGAAGCACAGACCATGGAGGAATACTGCTACTGGCTTGCTCCTCTGGCCTGTGTGCTCAGCCTGCTTTCTTATTCAACCTAGGACCACCTGCCCAGGAATGGCACCACCCACAGTGGGCTGGCCCTCCTACATCACTCAATAACCAAGAAAATGCCTCACAAACGTGCTTATAGGCCAATCCCATAAAGGTAATTCCCCAATTGAGGTTCCCTCTTCCCAGGTGTGTCAAGTTGACAACTGAAGCTATCCAGCACAAAGGGTTTTAGGAGGGTTTAAGTGACTTGCTCCAAATTTCATGATTAGGAGGTGTGATGGTCAGTTTTAACCTGACACAGTCTAGAATCACCTGGAAAGAGTCTCAATGAGGGAATGGCCTATGGGTGTGTCTGTAGGGTGTGTCAATTGTCTTGATTGATGTAGGAAGACCCAGTCTGAAAGTGGGCAGCACCATTCTCTGGTTTTGAGCCCTGGACTATAAGCATAGAGAACCTAGCTAAATATTGTGCTTGCATGTGTTCATTTCTCTCTGCTCTTGACCTTCGATGGGATATGACAAGCTGCTTCAAATTCTTGCTGCCTTGACTTCTCCCCAATGATGACCTTTAACCTGGCCTTGTCAGCTGGAATAAACTCTTTCTCCTCTAAGTTGCTTTTTGTCAGGGTATTTTATCACAGCAACAGAAATGATAGGACAGGAGGTAGCAGAGCTGGGCTATAACCCATGAGCACCTGACTTTCCATTTCAGGCCCCTATTACTATATTGTACTTTCCTTACAGTGAAACAGTATATCCTTATACAAAGCCGCATTAACTGGAGTCATCCTAACTTTTAGAACTTTCTGTTTTCCATTATTTTATTTATTTGCTTATTTTTAAAAAATTGGTGGTGCCAGGGATGCAGCTTAGGGCCTTGCACATGTTAGGCAAGCACTCTACTAAAGAGCCCCACCCCAGCCTCTCTTCTTCATTCTTCTTTGTGGCAGCTGAAGCCCCAGAGTGTCCTTGGCTGACCTCCTCTTCCTCATTTGAGGCTCCTGGTTCTGGGCATCTGGGCTGTGCATGCTGCCCCCGCCCTAACCTATGCTACGGTCTAGCTGTGACTCTGCTGGCTATACTAGGTCCCTGTCTATTTAGAGAGAAAATTTGAACTTTCTAAGCTGTAATAACACGTCAAACAATGGTAAGGCTATTTTACCATTAAAAGTAGGGCTGGAGAGAGGTGGCTTAGTGGTTAAGAACACATGTAGTTCTTGTAGAAGACCCAGGTTTGGTTCCCAACACCCACAGGTGGCTTACGACTGCAGCTCCAGTCCAGAGGATCCAAAAATGCCCTCTTCTGGCCTCTTTGGGCATTGCATGCATATGGTACACATACATGCAGGCAGAACACTCATATACATTTAAAAATGCAAAACAATCACAAAACAAGTGAAGTGGGGCTCTTAATTCTTACATTGGTTCTCACCTTTTGTCTTCTGGGACATTCTCCAACAGCATTCGAAGGAAATCCTGGAATAAGAACAAGGCAAACCATTAAAGCTGGCCAATCCCTGTGTAACCAGAGCATCCTCAGCTGCAGAGGTGCACCAGACCTAATCCTACCTGACAGACTATACACACTCACTGTATTCATTCCTCATAGCTTCAGTCCAGTCACAGAGGAGATTTACTTTGGAAAAACAATGAATAAATTGAAAATGAAATGCTTTTTATTTTGACCTAATCCAACAGTTTTGTGTTTAGCTATTTTCAAAATGTTAGTCACAACATACAGAATCACCCCTTCCCTTTACCCATGCTCTCCTTAGGAGGTCTTCCTAGACATCCTATTGGGCAAACTCAACTTCTAGAGGCGAGAAAGTAATCTGCACTGTGTTCACAGTGCTCTGGAAAGACAGAGTCAAACTCAACAGAATACATACACTAGCTGAGGGACAAATATGTCCATAGTGTGGAGCTTGCCACAGGCACTTAGTCACTGGACATCTGAGGTGTTTACACAATAGCACTGAGTTATGACTTACACATGTCCCCAACCCACTTCAAACAAAGTAGAATAATTAGCCTTCCTATTCACATCAACCTATAGCTAATCCACCCTGCCTCATCCACATCCGTTCCTCCTGAATTATTAAGAAAATCCTGACTATTACATAATTTTATCAATAAATATTTTCATAAACCTCTCTAAAAGAAAAGGATTCTTGTAAATCATAACCACAATACCACAGGACTGAAAAATTCAAATATGAATGTTCATTTATATTTAATTTATATTTGAATATTGTTACCCAACTTTCCAGCCCATCTAATTCTGGAATCTTTGCTTGGTCTTAGCTAGTGTTATTAGATAGAAGACACTCAGTTAAATTGGGAGGATAAATACACTAAAAATTATGTA